TCTGTAATATCTGCCATCAATTTAATACATTTTATTTATATATTTATACTCTTTGACTAACCACAACTTTGCATGATGTGGTACCTACTCTCTTAAAATTAAATAGTCAAAATTTTACTATTTGAATTAGTACCACCATTTTTACCAATAAAATAGTTGTTTTCACTTTTAAATAGTTCTTTTTTACTACTTAAATAGTTAAGGTTTGACTAATTTAAGATTAGTCATAATTTTTGACTATTTCTGAGAGTTAAAAGTAACTAACGTTTGTGGCCAACAACCAACTATTGTTTGAGTTAGGCTCCATGGTTAAATGGCCCATAAAAACAAACAAAGAAGCAAAAAGTTTAGCTCAAAACAGCCACCCAAAAAATATATTCAACTTTAAAATATTATAAGCAATATTTATAGACAAATAAAATTGGTTTTATATAAAAGTGACTGATGGCTCATCGGTTATGACATACGCTTGACAAGCTTGACAAGCAACAGACCTGAGTTCAAACCCCGGCTGGGTCAGAACTTTTTTTAAATTTAAATCTACTAATTTGTCTATTTCAATTAGTAGAATTTGACTTATTATTAGTGACTCCTTTTTCGCCATGACAATTAGTCAAATATGTCTTATAACACTGTGCAACACCAAAAATCAAACCGCACCGGACTATTTTTTTCTGAAAATATACCTATCCAATAGCAAAACCCTCGCTTGGTTTGTAAAAGTTAGCTCGATTTATTTTTTTATGGCCGTTTGTATTTCCAGCTTCATATACCCCAATTTAGACTTATTAATCGATTTTTTCACATATATTCGATTTATATCGTCAAGATTTTTTGTAGAAATGTAGTTACTGAACAAATAAAGCCATTTTGTGAACAACCTATATCCCAAAACCCAATTTTTGGGACCAAATATTCGAAAAATTATTTTTTTTTTCAATTTTTTCGATAATATTTAAAATTTATTGCTACTTCTTCTGGCAAAAATGTTGTAAAGTATACTAAAAGAAGTAATTTATAAAATACGCACACAAAACTGAACTTTAAGTTTACTTATTTGCTGGAAAACAATTTTTAAACAAGATTTTCCAAAATATTCATCTTTTCATACTCAACACCAATCTTTTTGCCGAAATCTTTGGAAAATCTGTAGTAAAAAATTGAATAGATAAAATAAAATTGTAGAAAAGTACAGATAGTTTGATTTTTTATTTTGTATTAATTTTATTATTAAAATTTTTTTTACATCAAAACATTGAGTAATCTGATTCATTGCTGGAGAATTCCATACCTACCACTTCTTCTCCTTTATTTTCTTGTTCTTCATTTTCATATTTTGATTCATCACTGGAGAATTCCATCCCTTCATTTCATATATTTTTTATATTCATTTCATTTCAGAAGACTTTGTTGACAGGTTGACAATGAGATAGTTGCGTGGGCGTCGATAAGAGAAATCATCGTTGGATTTTTAGGCAAACATCGTTCTCCCAATTATGAAGGATCTGTGCGACGAATGTTGGATGTTTTTTTCCAAAATTGGAGTCAATATGTTGCTAAAAATTCATTTCCCTCATCGTCATTTGGACTACTTCAGTCGACAGTTATCGACACAATCATCAAACTGCGATGCCATTTGAGTCCAGATAAAGAGGAAAACGAGCTCCAGATGCCATACTAGCCGAAACATTTTGGTGAAGTAAACATATTTTTGACTACGATCAGAAAGAAAATGAAGAACAAGAAAATAAAGGAGAAGAAGTGAAAGGGATGAAATTCTCCAGTGATGAATCAAAAAATGAAAATGAAGAGCAAGGAAATAAAGGAGAAGAAGTGGAAGGGATGGAACTCTTCAGCAATGAATCAGATTATTCAATGTTTTGATATAAAAAAATTTTTTAATAATAAAATTAATACAAAATAAAAAATCACACTCTCTGTACTTTTCTACAATTCTATTTTATCTATTCAATTTTTTCCTACAGATTTTTCGGCAAAATATTTGGTGTTGAGTGTGAAAAGATGAATATTTTGGAAAATCTTGTTCAGTTTTGTGTGCGTATTTTATAAATTACTTCTTTTGGTATAATTTACAACATTTTTGCCAGAAGAAGTAGCAAGAAATTTTAAATATTATTAAAAAATAAAAAAAAAATTTTTTCGAATATTTGGTCCCAAAAATTGGGTTTTTGGGGATATAGGTTGTTCACAAAATGAGTTTATTTGTGCAGTAACTACATTTCTACAAAAAATATTGACGATATAAATCGAATATATGCGAAAAAAATCGATTTCTAGGTCTAAATTGGGGTATATGAAGCTCGAAAATACAAATGGCCATAAAAAAAAAATTCGAGCTAACTTTTACAAACCCAGCGAGGGTTTTGCTATTGGATAGGTATATTTTCAGAAAAAAATGGTCCGGTGCGGTTTGATTTCGATGACCCGAAAATTGTCGCACAGTGTAATCAAGGACCGGATTTAAGGCAAAATCCCTTTTTGTTTCTATTTTAGGCATTTGTTTGGGACCTTGAAATTAATCCTAAACTTAAAAAATAAAGCGTTCGACACCCCTTCGTTTTTGCCTAAAAGCCTAAAATGGCGAATTTTTTATTTATTGTCCTAAAAGGACATTTTTATGAGCCTAAAATAGGCTCTTTTAATTTTTCAGTAAAAAATATATTTTTAATTGCGGAAAAGTAAATTATTTTTAATTAAACCCTGCTTTCATGCTCTTATTTCGGCTAGATGCCCTTGGCGAGTACGAGGACCACAAATTACAAAACTAGTAAAAACCTAATAAAAAAGTAATTGTGATTTTGCTATCTAAATATTTAGTATACATAATTATAGATAATATTAAGTTTGTAAAATAATGGTTGAAAATTATTATTTACTTTGTTTTCATAGGTTTTACTGTAATTTCCATATAATATATTGTCACGAAATAAGAAAATATTATTTATTGATTTACTAATTTTACTTTATTTTAACATAATAATTATTTTCCCACATAAAAGCAACAGGAAAGTTTCAGATTATTGCAGATTATTTGATTCTCAAATAGATTTACGTGGAAATTTATTGTGAGAAATGCAATCTTGCAATAATCAGCAAACATGTATTTCTTGTGTATATGACGTAGTGTTCTAGTTTTGTATATAAACCCATATTGCTTGTAATGTAAATTCCTTCAGAAATAAAGCCGTTATAATGTAAGTTTGGCCTTTTAACCATACGTCACCCAACAGTCTCAATCACTACTGGTGGAGTCCCTCTTCGTCACCATGGTGGGGTCCCTCGTCGTCACATGGTGGAGGCGCCAACGATCTTGTACCATCACTATGAATAGAGAAAGTATCGGTACCCGGGATTGACCGAATACTCACTGTATCTATTCATAGAAGACTTCCTGAATAGAGAAAGCATCGGTACCCAGGATTGACCGAATGCTCGCTGAATCTATTTGGGAACTCTAAGAAAAACAAGGTCGGCGTTAGTTAAATTTAATGTCACGCAAGAAGCTTTTGGGAAAATTGACATTCAACCCATCACATCGCAGCACGGAAAAATCCATCTTCGAACCCTCCTCAACGTTACCACGATCACCGACTGGCACCGAACCGAAACAAACAAGATATTTTCTACGACCACCGAAAGAACCTATAATACCCGAAAAACAGACTGAAAACAGCGAAGAAAAATCAGAAGAAGAAATCCAAAACTCAACATTTAATATAGAAGACTCAGAAGACTTTAATAAGCAAACTTTCAACGCAGAAGAAGAAAACAGCGAAGAAGAGGCAAATCCCGTCGAAAATCAATCCGAAAAAGAAGAAGACGACAACGTAGAAGCCCGTATCCAAAGCCTTTTAAGTCCTTTACAAAATCTTTCAATTTTAAGTCCTTCTGAAGATATATCCTTACCTTTTTCCCAAGCAACTGAGATACAAGATAATCCTGAAGAAAATTTCCCTAACACCCAAACCGAACCACAAATCATCGACATGTCGAACACAACAATTTTAGAAGCATCCCAGACCGGAAAAACACCTGCAGTCCCGAAGTTTATTGCCCCCACAACATTCAACCCGACGATGACCAACGCCATGACCTTTATGAAAAACTATGAAAGATGTTCCCAAATTAACGGATGGAGCGACACATATAAAATAAATTATCTATGATCATTTATGGAAGGAGCGGCCATTACATGGTATACAGCATACGTCACCAAACAAGAAAAAAAAGGAAAAGGACAAAAGAAGGAAGTGGTCCATATTAGTCGTATATTGCCATATGCAGATCCATGGACTCCCCAAGTATAAAAAAAAAGAGAAGAAGAAGAAAGAAAAAGACTCCACCCCGTCCTTTTCAACCCCCGTCCCCCCTATCCCTAATGCCAATTTGTATATATTTGTAAACTAGTAATTTTTAGGTTATCCTTAATCCTGTTATGTGCCCTGGCAACTCACTATTCCGAAGAAGCTGCCATCGAAATATCAGCAGGGGCCTTCTGGAAGCCCTTACCAGAAGCCTTGCTTTATGAAGCTACGATACCCATAACGTATAAAAGCCCATGGAAAGAAGAATTCGACGTCAATAAAGCTGAAATACAAAGAGAAGATTGTGAAGAAGATAAAGAGAGAACATTTTGCGAGGTACGGAAGAAGCTAGTGCTGCTGAGTCATTCTGTAACAAAGGAACTTGACATCCTAAGAAAAGCATGGAAAGTTACAAACCCAGAGATGAGTGAAGAACCGAGAAAAATTTACAAAAGAGCCCTCGACTTCATTGGAGATGCCTTGAGTTGGTGTTGTGGTGTCGCCACAGAAAATAAAGTCAAAACCTTGGTACTAGAGGGACGCGACCTGAAACAAAGAATAAAATTGCTTAATAAAGGATTGGATGGAACACCAAGAATCTTAGGAGACACATCAAGAAAATTTCAAACATACCAGGAAGAGGTTCAGAAAACTTTTAACGACACAAAAAACAAAATGGAAGAAATGTTAAAAATATGGACAATTAAAAAAAAAACACTTTACGATAAATATGAAGCAGACGTCCACGACTTATCCAGTTTCATTTTCAACAACATGTTAAACACCATCGCTATGGGACGCCACATAAAAAAATTTCAAATTTTACAAGCCTGCAAAAACCACGAAATACCAACAACCTTGATAACACCAGATATCCTGAAAAGCGACCTTCTACGCCTACAAAAACATATAGAACAAGCCGATCAAAAGATAGCAATTAATCTTGAAGACATCCATAAATACTACGAATTACCAATTACTGATTGTGTCATCGCAGAAGAAACATTAATGGTAACAGTAAAAGTTCCAATAAGAAGAGCAAACTTCAGATGGCAACTGTACGAGTTGTTAACAACCCCATTTGCTTGGCACAACCAAACATGTCACATTCAACACGAAGCTTTATTTTTGGCAGTAGCGACAAGGAACCAGAAGGAAGTAGCGCTAACCATTTCTGGAACCAACCTACACCAATGCAAGCCGTATGAAAATAAATTATGCTATCTTCCAAGATTTTCACCAGACAACCTACATGGACCCCAATGTGCAAAAATGCGGTTTCACGGAGCCACCGTAGAAGAAATCGCGAAAACTTGTCCAATGAGATGTTTGTCTTCAAAGTCATTAGTTATAACCGAAATTAGAAAAAACACATTTATAGTCACACACCCTCATCCAAACACTACCGTGATGTGTAGAGAAGAACAACAAATAGAAGAAAAATCCCTTAAATATCCAGGTGCCATCAAACTGTCACTACCCTGCAGCTGTTCCTTAAGGGTAGGAAACGACATTCTCATAGAAAAAAGGTATCCTTGCAATGAAGAAATAGAAGAAGAACTGAAGATTTGTCACATTTTGCCGGCTACATGGACAAACCTGAAGTCATTCACACTAAATCCTAACTACAATAAAAAACCACCAACTTTTGGAAATATCGAGGAGTGCCTATTATCCAACTGGTCACTTACAGTTCCACATATCAACTTGACATCCACTAGTAAAGAAATAGAAGAAATAAGAAGAAGTTTAGAAGCTAAAGAATCTACTTACGCTAATATATATTCCATCCATGGAGACTACATGCTTATTCTATGGAATGGAATCCTTTCAGCATGCGTGGTATTCCTCTTAATCAAGAGATACCCAGTAGTACTAGCAGCCACCATACCTCGAGCAGAAGCTGCAGAAATCCCAACTGCAGTAAATTTAATTGCTGGATCCGCAATACTAGTCATGTTTATATTGCTACTAATAATGATGTACATCTGTAAAAGAAGAAATAAGAAAAATGGAAAAAGTATAATTAAAAATAAAATACCAAAAAATGCTGGAAACCCTGGAAATGATCCCTCACAAGAAGGTATCCTGTACCACGTTTGTTGTGAAGATGACATCAACCTTCCAGATCAATTCCATCTGACACTCGTCCGAGCTTACCCCAGGAATGACCAGGAGTAAGGGTTAGCAATTTCCAATGATGACAAAAGGGAGCCCAGCGCAACGAGTCGCTCATGCGTTCCATGTCCATCGCAGGAATAAAATTGTTGGCTAGGTCAGTAGTGTTAATATCAAATTACAAGCGCATATTTAAGATAAAAACTAGCTTGAAAAACAAATTGCAAGTTTAATTCAAACATTTAAAATAATAAAATAAAAAATTTAACGTTATAGGGTATAAAGGGACGTAGGTCTTCACTAAAGTTATACAAAGAATTTTTTTTGTATAGTAATGCTTAATTTTAAATAATTTTTATATATTTAATATTTTTTGGCATAGGCGATAGGCAACTGTAAATTGTACATAGTTAGTTATTATTTTTTTAGTTTAAGAATACTTACTAATTTTTGTTCCTTTTTATTTTCATGTGGAGTCCGACAAAATGTAATAGTACTAGACACTTCACCACTTCAACACCACACAAAAACCAACAATATTTCCAATACTTAAACACAGACATCAAGAATTCATCATGGCGGACTTGAAGATAAAACTAAGTGTCTAGCGCTACGTCGGCAGTTTATTGCAAATCTAGAACATGGACGACAAAGCCCAGTGGCGTGCTTTCTAGGCGAGGGAGATGTCACGAAATAAGAAAATATTATTTATTGATTTACTAATTTTACTTTATTTTAACATAATAATTATTTTCCCACATAAAAGCAACAGGAAAGTTTCAGATTATTGCAGATTATTTGATTCTCAAATAGATTTACGTGGAAATTTATTGTGAGAAATGCAATCTTGCAATAATCAGCAAACATGTATTTCTTGTGTATATGACGTAGTGTTCTAGTTTTGTATATAAACCCATATTGCTTGTAATGTAAATTCCTTCAGAAATAAAGCCGTTATAATGTAAGTTTGGCCTTTTAACCATACGTCACCCAACAGTCTCAATCACTACTGGTGGAGTCCCTCTTCGTCACCATGGTGGGGTCCCTCGTCGTCACAATATCATATTATATTATGTATTACATATATGGTAATTTCAGACTTTTTAACAGTTTTTAGTAATATAATTTGTCGCTATATATGGCATAATTAAATAACTCTCCACAATTTACAGGTGGTAAATAGTTTTTCTATATAAAGACAATAGATAGCTAAAACCAACTTTGACAACATATACTTACCAGTAAGTATATGTAAGTATAAATTTGACAACCGTTGGAATCAACGTATCGTGCTTTTGTTTGTATTTGTTTATATTTTTTGTTCAGCGTCGCCTGTTTATTCCAATATTTTTCCTTTTCTTTATTCATACGGGCAATTGTTTGCAAGAGTTTGTGTTACCTATTATTTTTATCATATATTTTATATTAAGAGATACATGTATTTTTGGTTTTATTTTTATTGATAGGACCTGATTAAATTTTATGTTTAATCGTGTTTTTTTTTATTTTATATCGCCTATTTTAGGCGGTTGAGGCCTATTTTAGACACTTTCGGCCTAGAACGGTCTAAAATGTAGGATTTTATTGCCTATTTATGTGTCCTAATTTCCAATTTTTAAGGGCCTAAAATCCGGTCTTTGCTTATAATTAGTTATTTTTGACTATTTCCCTCGTCTTAATTTCCACCAATCACAAACGCGCAATTTTGAATTTCAAATGGTTTCTAGGTGAAAAAACTGTGTGACAGCACCTGTCAGCAGTTTTTTCGAGTTTACCCGCGGCAAAACTTGACAGCTGTTGTCACCAAAAATTGCAATTTATATTTTAATTGTTAACTGTTACTCATGAAATAGTCTTGTCAAATACCATTCGGGCATCTAATTTTTCCTGTGAAAAAAATCGAAAAAACACAATGCTAAGTAATATTTTTTAACAAAAAGCATTCGTGCAGGTGCAAAAATCCTCCTCTTCGACTCGGATTTTTGTTGCCATCAGCACTCATGCTTTTTGTTAAAATATCACTTAGCAACGTGTTTTTTCGATTCTTTTCGGAAAAATTAAATGCCCTTATGATATTACTTACGACTAATTCATTTCAAGAGAGTAGGTTGTGGTATTGTCAGGTCTGCAGATCGAGGAGGCCAGCTTCTGACCGGATCTGACTATTTGTGACTTATTCGATGAAGTTTTAAAATTGTGTACAAACATTACAGTATCTATCGAAATTTAACTGACAGCCTCAGGATATCATCTAATAAAATAATTACCTTAGGAAATGTTTGGTGATATTATGATCCGTAATGGGTACGAGATGGAGTCCGGTGCGGAACTGGCTGTACATGTGGTAGGTCATAATTAGCATCCAGCAGAAAGCACACAGTCTAACGTATTGCAGTGAAAACGCCAGGGATATGCATAATTCAGAGTCCTGAAACAAAACTTTAAATTAATGGAGGCAAAGTCAATTAAAAAGTATTTAAACCAAGATTCATCTTGCTACTAACTCGTGCTCGTTTAGTGTTTGAAACAAACCTTATTTAAATAATTGAAATAGTTTAGTTTAGTTTAGCGTATATTCAATTTACAAATCAATTTTGGAAAATAACATTAACCGAATAAATAGATCATGGTGGGCCTTGTTGCCTAGTGTAACCTTTGATGTTAAATGTTTGAAGATTATCTCTGAATTGTGAATAGGGTATAGAATAATGTATTATAGGAATATATTTTTCTTTCATGGAATTCTTGGAATTACTTAAGTTGATAAGAAAGTCAATATTTATAACTGAATTCTGAACGTTTTAATATAATATTTGGTAAACCTGATTGTCTGTTAATAGGGTTTTATCAGTGATACTTCGTTTAAAAAAAATAGCACCAAAATGAATTTTAATATTTTAAAATTAATTACATCGATATAAATAAATAAGATAATTAACTACAGTTGTTTTATTATGATAATAATTTTTAATAGGGTTGGGACATTTATAGAGATAAGTCAAATACTTAAATATATAGAAATATATGTTGAATTAATTCGTAATTCTTGGCACATCTGTTATAACATCGTTACGTCACGCGCTCTCTTTGTCATAAAGAAAAAATAATAACTAACTTGTATGCGTAGATTCAAAATAAAAAAATTGCATGTCCCTTTCCCATTGCATTAGATTTTCTTTTGATAAAAATGAGACTTTTTTACATTTTACAATAACTGTTTTATTAAATGTTACTAATAATGGGTTTTGTATTTTTGTGTGGGCTAAATAAAATTACAAAATCTATTATTGGCTACAACCCAGCCCAAATTTTTGATTTTTTATTTTATAGTTTAAATAGTTAAACACATTTTTGATACCTTTGCCATAAAGTTTTCCTTGAAATTTGTTTTGTGAATTTAACTGTCAAATACACGACCGTGACAATTGTCAGAAAAATTGTTGCCTCATTATTATACAAGGTGTTTCAAAATTGGCGCTATAACTATACCATGCCTTTGGGGAAATTATTTTAAGTAAACAAAAAAGTAAAAATTAACACTAACTGAAATGTTTTGCTGATTTTACAGGCTTTTGCGGCCTGTTACAATTTCTGGCGGGGTTAAATTTTCAATTTTACATTCACTACCCCACGTGTTCAATAATTTTAACTTCAAAAAATTTAATGTTTAGAAGTGTTGTCTAAATTGATAAAAATTAGATATCTCAGACGAACAAGGCAATAGTTGATATTGACAGAATATTGCCGTGTATCGCATTTCTATTGATTAAAAAACTGTATCGTTATAATAATATTAATATTAATAATAATAATAAACTTTATTTCCAACAGGAATACACCCAATTACAGGAAATGTAAAAAGAAGAAAAGTTAAGGTAAAGATATAACAACATAAAAGCAAGTATGATTACAAAGAAAAATATTTAAATACAAATACATAGTATATTAATCACAAACATGTTATTAAAGACTTTAAGGAATCAAAATTAATATCACAGTTGTAGCAAAAACTATTAAATAAAGAGCACATGTTGTACACAGGTGCGCGACGTAGCATATTAGTACGGGGAGTATCAATTCTAAATAAAACATTATTTCTGGAGTTGAATCTGGGTACGTTAAATTTTAAACAATTTAGTAAATATGGATAGTCAATTTTATCATGACAAAGATTGTACAAGAATGAAATCGCTGCCACAACTCTACGCTTTTCCAACGAAATCATGTTGTGCCTTTCAAGCAGGATAGAATAATCTATTCCTCTTTCAGGGTATACGCGATCCTCTTTAAAGGTAAGGTACTTTAAAAACTTACGCTGGTTAGATTCCAGGACTCGAATGTAGGTTTCATAAATGGGAAACCAAATTAAGGACCCATACTCAAGCCTAGTTCTAACCAACGAATTAAAAAGAAAGATTAAGCATTTGTTATCCTTAAAGTCCCTACAATTTCTCAAAATAAAACCAAGAGTTTTAAAGGAACCGGAAACCACATTATTAATATGGTTAGTAAATGAAAATTGTTTATCAAATAGTATACCCAGATCTTTCTCACCCTCACTTCGCCTTAATTGATTATTAGCAATGCTGTAACTAAATTCCATGATTTTTCTCTTTCTGGTATATGAAACCACGACACATTTAGAAAAATTTAACATTAATTTTGATGATTTACACCATTCATTTACTTTGTTAATGGAATCTTGCAATATCACACAGTCATCATAGGTATCAATCCTTTTAAAAAGCATTAAGTCATCAGCAAATGCTAGCTTGTTGACGGTTATGGAACTTATAAGATCGTTAATAAAAAGGACAAAAAGTAAGGGACCCAAGTTTGAACCTTGGGGAACCCCGGACGTTACAATGTAGCTACTGGATTAAAACCCGGCAACCTCAACATATTGGGATCTATCACTAAGATATGATCTAACTAGGGCAAGCAAGGAGTTAGAAAAGCCAAAAAATGTAAGTTTTTGTAAAAGAACTTCATGGTTAATTTGATCAAAAATTGATGAAAAATTTGTATCATAATGGACCTTATTATAGTACAGGTAAAAAATGTATAATAGTTTCACAATGTTACGTTATTGTTAAATTGCTTATTGGTAATTTTGTTATATTACAATAGTTTCACAATGTTACATTGTTGTTACATTGCTTATTGGTAATTTTGTTACATTACAATAGTATCGCAATGTTACGTTATTGTTATATTGCATATTGGTTAACTTGGAACGGTAACAATGTTACCATTATTTTAGGTAACTGTTGCGTTGCATTTTAGTAACATTGTTACATTGCAATGTTACTCCTATGTTACATAACGGCAATACTGTGTTACGTTAAATGTTGACCGGGAGTAATGATTAACTACTTAAGAAAATTAAAATAAATAAATAAATAAATACAATGTTTATAACCACCTAAACATATTGAACAAGGTAATACGGTAATTTATTTATGTTATAACAGGGTATTAGCCTAATACTATTGGGTACAGTTAAGGTCAAACCTTTTAAATCAAGGACTGCACCACCCAACTTAAATTCTTAATTAGAACAATACCATCTGCGATGGTTAGGTTTACATTTTATCCGGCATTGGCCACAAAGTGTGCCCTCCTGCGGGTAAAGCAACAGGAATATTAATCACACAGTATGAATACGCATTAAGCCGACGCATATTACTCGACGTCGGTCTAATGATTAATTTCACAAACACAAGGGCTTACACCCAACAAGCTATCCGACCAAAATTGACAAACAAAGGCCATGATATTACTATTTCGATACAAACGGTCATGAGCTCTGAGACATCTAAGTTTAAATTTTATATTGAAATGTTATGTCAATTACGAATAGCTTACCTAGCGTGGATTATGAATAAATACTTATTTTAAGTTTTTAAGATATTTTTAATTAAACGGTATTTATAAAGGCTAGGTACTAAATAAATATTACACATATTTTATTACAAATATATGTTTATTTTAAGCCAAATTTCTGTTGAAACACGTTTATTTTTTCTAAAGACGTTTTTATTAACTCACTTTCTGTACAAATTTACTTCATGTCTTCATGTTGTAATTTATAGTATTAAAAAAAATATTATATACAAGAAGGCCCAACATAATATCATCAGGTGATAGATATGATTTTAATGGTTGTAATACAAATTTTGAAACCAAAAACAGTTATTGCTAATGCTGTTTAATCTTGCTTAATAGACATACTTTGTTATTTTACTAAGATGAGGTTTAAAATAACTTCTATTTGCATTTTAACTATATATCATTTAAATCATGTACATTGTTCAATTTTTTTGTAAAATTACAATTGTTTGAGTAGATGAGTAAAATTACAAATCAGTGTATACCAATAAAAAATTATAATACAATTTGAGTAATTTTCCAAGACATGTTGGTAAATCTACTGAGATATATCTTATAAGTTGTAATTTTACAATCTATATGTATAAATCTGAAACGCATTGTAACTTTACTAAACAGTTTGTTTATAATAAAAAGCATCTTAGATGTATTAATTACATTAATTAAAAATTTATTATAATGTTATGTAAAATGCATATTATGTACCTATTGTGGCAATCACGTGATGTTCTTACATCTCGCCTCGGTTGACTTGGGTGGACAGTATATAAGTTCAGGTGTTTAACACACCATAAACGACACACTGTGTTTCAATACACCAAATTTCCCGACATTGATAAGACCCAAAATAGATCTATCTGTCTAGCTGTCCGTCGGTATTTGAAGTTGGTGGAACGCACTTAAAACAAAAACTCTGGCGAGGTGAAGGTTCAATTTTTTTTAAATCTTTACAGTAATCAAGAAAGTTTCTTAAAGAAACTAACAGGTTTATTTTTTCGTAGTATAATTACAATACCATCATTCGTAAATTACTAACTATTTTTAGTGTAATTTGTTGTACAAAATAATAATTTTTGTATTGTAATATTGCAAAACTAATTTTATTCAGTTCAGTAAAATTATCAACAACAAGTGCCGGTGTAATTAATTAAAATACACCATTTTAAAATTACTAAAAATATTTAGTATTTTTTAGCAAAATACAATACCTGTAGAGTAATGTTACAGAACAAATTTTTAATAAATGCTTAATGAATTTCAACAAACGTTTTGTAATTTACAAAACTGAGTTTTATTATTACTATATTGTGGTGCGTAAAAACTTCCTAAACATGTTTAGTAAAATTACAATAGAAATTTTTAACAGTGTATGTTAGTGTATTTTAGTGGGTTACAACCAAAAAATTTTTATTATTATCTTTGGTTACAACGTCTTTTTTAGTTTTTTAAAATCATATGAACATTTTTAAATATATATATTTATAATCGATCTTTATACAATCGTTTGTAAATGGAATAAGATTTAAATAATTATAATAATAATAATTATGTAGGTAATAAGGCTGAGAAGTGAGCTTTTGTGCTGGGCTTAAAGTTTAAATGGCAAAACGTTTCGCCCTAATGGAATACATTTTATCTTCAAGGCACAGTTTTATTTATTAAACTATACATAAAAAGTACTTACAATTAAAATAACAATTATTAAAAGTATAAAGTGAGGTTAGGTTAGGTCAGATGACTTTTGACGGAATGAAATTTAAAAAAAGTCTTGTCACGCAACATAATAAGGGCATAGCCATAACTTCCATATTACCGTATTACATAAAGAAAATAGCTTTAAATTTATATCCAAAATTTTCTAGAATTAAAATTAATTTAATGTATTTAAAAATTAACAAATAATGCTTTTGAATATTCTAAAGTATGAACGTTATTTCAAAAACCATATTTTAGCATACAAAGTTTTTTGTGTAACTTAAATAAGGTAATAAAAAATCCTAGCCAGATGTTGTATGGAGTAGGACAGTCAATTTGAAAAACTTTTCAACTTTAAGTGAAAATGTAGCCAGTTAAATGGTTCCCGAATAAATTACTGACTGGGGCAATCTAGCCTGACAAGTACTAATTATGTAAAATGTTTTCAAAGTTTATTTATTGTTTTAGTAATTTTCTTTTCTCGAATAAATTGAATAAATTATCCTCGCTAAAAGTTTATTGATAAGCTAAAAACACCCTTTAAATAATCTATTGGTAACAGTGTAAAAAATAGCTTTAACTTAAAAATAGGAATAAATAAACGTTTTTTTTTTGTTAGAAAGTTAAGATAAAATATACTTTTTTTTTAAGTGAACAATAATTCTTATATTACTTATAACCCTATATAGAAAGTCTTTATATTAATACTTGAAAAGTTAAATTATTATTACACTCCGTACAGAAATAAAGGTAAAATGTCATCATGTCAGTTGAACATAACCTAAAAATGATGAGACAGAATCTTAAGAAATTATTTAATTAAATGCTTGAAAAAAATAGTATATAAAACCCGGCGGCGAAAGCTATTAATTGCTCGCACACAAACTACTGCCTCGGCAGTGAAATGTATGCTCGTATGTACTATTTTTCTTATGGTTGGAAGGTTGGAGGTGGGTCTTCTCTTTTGTTTTTTTTTCTTATGGTTAATTTTTACTGTTTTAGCATTGCCTCACTTAACGGTTTTTGCATAGATTATAAAGGTTTTAGTTTAATAAGTTGACAGTTTTACCACCTTACCAAATTCTTACTGTCACGAAAATGTCTTTGAAACAATTGCCTTATTTTATTTCTATACTTAATTAACAATTAATTGTGAAAATATTTTAACAGTTTTATTTATAATATTTGAGAAATATTTATTACATACTCCAAAATACGAAAATAGTATATTCTGTAACAAGTTTGGAATACGACATATTCCGGTCGAGTAAAAAGTGTGTCATACGAGCCGAAGGCGAGTTTGACGGTTTTAAGAGAGCGAAATTTTTTTACGTTTTTAAAAAATACTATAGAAAAATAATTTAATTGGGAAAAAGTGAGGTTGGATCGGTCAAAATGTTGTTAGATATTAAACACAGAGATGTTTAGTATTTATTCCGTCATACTATGATAGAATAGTATATTTTGTAACAAGTTTGGAATACGGCATATTCCGCTCGAGTGAAAAGTTTGTCACACGAGCCGAAGGCGAGTTTGACGGTTTCACGAGAGGGGAATATGCAATTCCAAATGTGTTTCAGACTATACTTTTTCTATGTTTCTAAAAAATACCATTAAAAAATAATTTAATTGGAAGAAAGTGAGGTTGGATCGGTCTAAAATTTGTTAGATATTAAAAACAGAGATGTGGCCACGAGTGTTTATTCTGTCATCCGATGAAGAATATTTCATTCTGTAACACTTTACGGAATATAGGTCATTCCATAGATAAAAGTGATATTAGAACGTTCATATTCCGTAATAGGAGTAGAAAAAAGTAATGGCAACAAATGATGTTGTTTTCTTTGGTAACCAACACTTTGTTCTTGGTTATGAGGCTAAGTTGTAAATATTGTATTTGTATCTGTTTGCTGGTATTGGGATTTCAATTAAATATTTCTAAAATAATTTAGGGTCGAGATAAAGAAAAAAGTTATAACATTAAATACAATTATTGTGATTGCTTATTCCAGCAAGATTATCTTGTTACCTTTATTTTATCAATCGTTATAAGTGTTATTGGAAAATAATCGGGTAAAACTGCCCTGATTCCAACTGATGAGTGAAAAAACTATAGGATTGTATTTTGTGTATTTAGTAAAAACTTGTAAAACCAAAATTATCAGAATGAATTCGCAAGTGGCAACGTCGCAATCCCCATAACGTGATGACTTTTGGCGTTTTGTGTTGGCAGATTAGAAAATGTATATCATTTATTCTTGCTGTGTCATTTGTTTTTACATTTGTTGCACATAAAATAATTAAAAATAACCTCAATAAAAGTTCGATACAGGTGGAAAGGATAATGAGTGAGTGAAAGTGTGTTCAAGAAAAGGCTCCTTATAATGGATCAGGGATCAGAGATTATTCTCGTGGGTTCGAAAACAATGAAAATGCATCTGTTTACGTCAGCGAATCAAAAGGTCTTTTGTGCAAAATTTGCTCTGCAAACACTAAGTTGTAACTATTTTACGAACTTGTCAATTGTGATCAAAGCTGATTGCGACGTTGCCGCGTTTATATTTTTTTAATTACCTCAAAAACTAAATAAATTATTTAAATTTTGAACACAGTAAAAACATATTTGTTAATTTTAACCAAATATTAACAAGATTTTATGTTTAGTTTACATGTAACTGTAATCCGTTAAGTAATTGTAATTATAATAGATATTTTGTTACGAACACGTTACGAATTGGAATAAAGTAAGCAGAAACATTAGCTGCAGACGCTGAAGTCAGTTAAACTTGTTGATGCGTATTATTGTGCTGAAGCAGAATGTATGATGATAAAAAAGTCAGTGGGAAATGTTTTGATTGGCTGCCTGAAATCACGTGTACGAAATAATTTCTTAAATATTAACAAAATAATCTGTAACCTTTATACAAAAAAATTAGTTTAAATTTTACAAAATAAAATTAACAAACTACAAACTTGTGTTAACAAATCTAATTTTCATAACAGCGTACAGTATCTACTGTAAATAGTGACAGGTCGTGTATATGCAAAATATTAGATGATGTTTCACCTGAAAAATAAATTTAAAATTTCATTTCATTTCAGTCATTATTTCTTAGAACACGCGAATTTTGCTACTCTTTAAGCTTGATAATATTGCAACAAAATATAAGTTTTATAATTTGAATTAAGTTTTAATAAACTGCTGTTTGCATATTATCCTAAAAATTGTGACTATATACAACTAATGGTAATTTTATTTGCTTGGCTACATTACAAATTGTCGAATTATTCAAATTTATTAATTTATTTTATAATTGTTATTAATTTCACAAATATTTTGTTACTAAATATTTTTATTATTGGTATTTTCGTATTTTAAATATCAAAAGGTTATTGATAAAGTTCTCTTTTTTAATAATAATCTTCCCAACAAAATACATTAATCCCAAGCCAATTTTAAACTTTTAAAACCATGTTCTGGTTCTTAATATGGCTACGTTTGCATTATGTGCTGTCAGCAAGATAAAACTTTTGCAATTTTTCTCTTCTTAAGATGCGCTGGTTTTTTGTAGGCCCGGAAACGAATTATTTATTTTAAACTTTAAGACAAAACTTACTTTATCAAGTTTAATGCGCTAGTTTTTATTTTTATCGTGGGATTTCCTCGAACGGTTGGTAATAAATTTAGTGCCGAATCGCGTTTTAAATTAAATAAAAAGTTTGAAATTTTTTTGTCTGTCTTGTAATTATAATTTTTAAACATGATAGATAGTAAAATAGCACCTAAATTTTCGCCATGCGTTTATAAACGCTCTGTATAAAATAATAATTTAAAATAATTAAATTATATAGTAGGCAGAAAGACCTCGGTGCGTAGCCTTTTAATTTTTCCAATAAATATATTTACTAGTACTAGTACTAAAATTATAAACCGTACAAAATTAAAAATAACCTGGGCGCATCCACCATTTTTGCAACTTAGAGCGTCGAGTCTCTCAAGTTGTACAATTTATAAAAATAGAATGTTTAGAAGTTTGAGGATCATGCGCATTATTTATCTTTGAGCAAGGCTCCCGCAGAACAAAGGATAAAAAGGTGATTAATTATAATTGTCATTATTTATTACCCTAGGGCCCAGGGTATTAAAAAAACAAGATGGGTGGTACCTGGGGTTTGTAGGAATGTGAATTGTTGAGCCATCAGATTTCAGATGTCAAAACTGTTTTGTTTTAATGTAGGTACACTGTGTTTGTACGATTCTAAAAGTTTGGGTTGTTTTGAAAAGTTTTAAGAAAGCTTTGCACGTGGTTTTAGAACATTTTAAGACAGTTTTTGACAACTTACTCATTTTGGACTATACCAACCGTATAACATAACATAACTTCAAAGAAAAAGCTGTTTTTTAAGAATTTTAACGCATTTTGCTTACAACCATGTTTATTGAAGCACTATTGTTTACTTTTTTGGGACGCAAGGGTCCACTTAAAGGAAGCATTTATAAACTCTTTAATGTTCCACCACTATACACCCCAGTTCTCACAAGGTAGTAATTTTGCGAGTACTCTTATAAACCGCGCACCACTCAATGTGTCGCGCCCAAAAAATTCGTCCTTTTTCAAAACGACATAACTTTTTTGTTTCTTGAACGATTTTATTTTGGTTTGTGATGTTTGCTATCCCCATCCTCTGGCAATTCATGCTATAGAAAAGAAGCTCAGGTTCTTTAAGTAAATTTCGTACAGGGTGATATGTAAAACGGTCAACAATTTCAACAACTTCATCCAAGCCCCGTTGGTAAAAAAATATTTTTTTTCCAGTTTTTACTTTGAAACAATGAAGTATTATGTCTTACCTTGAAAATGGTTTTTAAATTTTTCGTATTGGAATCTTAGCCAAGAAAATATGATTTTTTTTCCAAAAGAGTACATTTAAGGCTTTTTGGTAGACAATACACTCAGTATTTTTAAGAACAAGAAGATAAGATAGTAAAAGATTGTTCCTTGAATAATTCTGAACAAGCGACAGGCAACAAACTTCCATTCTTTTCAGAGGGGCCTAACCAAAGAGAACTTTTTCAAAATGACATTTTGGTGAAAATTTGCGAAAACTAATCCTAAACCGATATTTACGTTCTTGACATGTTTTCTTTATAATTTTGACCTCCTGATTGTGATTCAGTTGTCAAATTTAACTTTAAGATAAAACCAAGATCACTAAGAATCAAAATTCGAAAACAATTCCCGGCTTTTAAATGTCTTCATAAAATCAGATTGCTGGCTTATTTCTTGCATATTTATGATTAAAATGCCATTTCGGGATTCATTTTTTGGGCGAAATTACTGAATGGTTAGGATAATATTACATAACTTACATTTACATTGCGCACTAGTGATAACTTATCACTGATAAGTACCTACCTAATTGGTAATAAAGTTAAATAAAAATATTTTTGTTCATTTTGAAAAATTTTATGCGAAGATATAATCATAATCAAAACTACAACATTCAACAGAAAAATGTAAAAGACAATAAAAATAATAACTTTCAATATTTCGTTGGCCCTCCCCTAAACCGTAATAATTCGTTAAACCTCCTGGGCCTCGACCAAGTTCCTTATAAATTCCTGGGGTATCCCATTCTTCATGGTCAAAATTATAAAGAAAACATGTCACGAACGTAAATATCGGTTCAGGATTAGTTTTTGCAAATTTTCACCAAAATGTCATTTTGAAAAAGTGTTCTTTGCTTAGGCCTCTCTGAAAATAATGGAAGTTTGTTGCTTGTCGCTTGTTCAGAATTATTCAAGGAACAATCTTTTACCATCTTACCTTCTTGTTCTTAGAAAGACTGAGGGTATTGTCTACCAAAAAGCTGTACTCTTTTGGAAAAAAATCATATTTTCTTTGCTAAGGTTCCAATTCGAAAAATTTGAAAAACTTTTCAAGGTAAGACATAATACTTCAATATTTCAAAGTAAAAACTAGAAAAAAAATATTTTTTAAAAACGGGGCCTGGATGAAGTTATTGAAAT